GAGTTTTAAGAGTATGATCATGAAATGAGAGTGGTTTAAGGAGAGATTTTTAGTGTAATCTTGAAGTTAAGCCATAAAGTTAAACAATAACTTACCAAGTTGGGATCCTTGGTGTGGAACTCTTGAACACCCACACACACACTCACGATTTTTGGAAGGGAAGTATGAGAGGATTTCCTTGAGTTTTGAGAGGAAAAGATGAGAGAATGTTGAGTTTGAAAATGAAGAGTGATGGTGGGGAGGCCTTATGGCCGAGAGTTTGAAGAGGAGAGAGGGAGAGAGAAAACCTTGCATAGAAGTATGGGATTTACCTTGTTGTATGGTGGTTATTGTGCATGGATGACCACCATGCAACATTGAGGTGTCATGGTTTAAATCCTCCTATTATCTCTTCCTTTCTTTCTCTTTTTTTTTTTTACATAGTTGGGCCGAGAATAAGGGAGAAGAAAAGAAAAGGGGAAATAGTTTGGGCCTTACTTGCTTGATTTCGATATTATGAGGTCCATGTTGATGGTTTTCGGCCCATTGGGCTCTTATGAGGGTTCACAACCCAATAGTGATAAGGAAAATGGGTTTACGGCCCAATGAAGCCCAAGAAGATAGTTTACGGCCCATTAGGGCTTTTGAAACCATTTATGGCCCATCATGGCCCATGAGAAATAAGATGAGTCATTCTAGGCCCACATGACCCAAAATACTTTAGTTTTATGAATATGGGTCCAGTTTGAGCCCAAATAGGGTTCCTTGGCCCAACATTCCCAACTTGAAAGTTTATTGGCCCATTTGGCCCAATAAGAGGATCCTAGTCCACAATAAACTTGAACCGGGATTTTTAGGGTTTTCAACCCATAGTTGAATATATGAGATGTATTGTATTAGGTTTTGAACTTCACTCGGGAGTTTTGATTCAAATGGATGATTTCGTTTTAGCATATAGCATAATATTCACTTAGAGTACAAGCCTTACAATGGCTGATGTTTACATAGAAACAGAATTTCCTAGCTAAAAATGCTAGTTGTGACACACCCCTTCTTCTTAATAAAAATCCTTTAAAAGTTTAACTTCATTTTTATTAATAAAACTATCATTTCCTCAGTTTGAGTTCTGACACACCCGAAAGTATGACCAAATCCCTCAAACCAAGGCTCTTATACCAACTTTTAATAGCCCAAAATATAGTGGAAAATTTTCATTTAAAACTATTAATTTCATTCGTTGATTGTACTAAAAACCATCAATCATTACAATATTCAAATCAACAGAATACAGTTATTTTTAATGCGGAAAATCTGAGGGGAGGATGATGTGCCATCACGTCAGGCCCTTCCCTTTTGAACTGGAAGTACCTGAAACCATAAACATAAATTGTAAGCACAAAGCTTAGTGACTTTCCCCCAAAGTACCACATACCATACATAAAAGAAAATAAATGCTCTGGGCCAAATCATAGTGATATAATCATTTCCTACCATGGGCCAAACCATGGTCTTTCCGCTCAGTGCCGAGGGCCAAATCCTAGTCTTGCATACAAGTGTCAAGGACCACATCCTGGTCTTTCATACAAATGTCAGAGGTCAGATGCCGGTATTTCATATAATTATCACAAGGCATCTAACATTATACACAACAAGCAATGAGCCGACATTAGTGCCTTCGACCCATGGATCTAGTAAGGAAACTCACCTCAACTGCTGAAAAATCAGATAAATGCTCGGGCTGTTGGACTGGAAAAATCACTATGCTCCAAATGGTGCATAATGAAGAGAAGATGTTGGATCCAAAGTCTTGAGAGCAAAGCCTACTCCTTGAAGATCTTTCTTCACAAACAAGAAAGCCAACAACTCACTCTGAAAGCTCAAAATGCTCAAAAATAGACTAGGGTTTGCAAGGAGGGTCGATCTTGGGATGGAGGCTGATAAAGGGAAATGTCTTGGGTCTATAATGGTGCTTGTATACTGCACAAACTCTAAATATTAGGGTTTTGGCATTAACCACGTACGCCCTGCGTACCAAAAGTGTACGCCCGACGTACCCAAGCTACACCCAAAATCACGAAATTGCCATTGGGGACCTATTTGCAACCAATTCATAACTCAAGGGTCAAAGACAAATATCTGGAAAATTAGATGTTACACTTTTAATAATATTTAGAGATTGCAGATTATGCAACTATTTAAAGGTATAAGCCCTCGTTGTTTAAAATAGTAAGAGTTTTAACATAACTATATATATATATATATATATATATATATATATATATATTATTAAAGTATATGACGTGACCCAACATAAGTATTGTTGTCTCTTTTATTTTTATCAGCTTTACTTATTTTGACATGATTTTTTTATTATAGATTCGTTTTGTTATTATGTATGGTCTATGACATATTAATAAATTAAATATTAATAGAAAAAATGTTAAAATTAAATCAAAGGGGTATAATAATTTATTTAGTTATTAACGAGGACCAAATCCAGAATAAGAGTAAACCATAATGACTATCTCCGCAATTTTGAAACTTACTAAGGGTACCCAAAGAATCAGCAAACAAAGCATACATATCAAATTTGCAGATTTGTATTTAATTTTTATACTCATATTTATTGTTAATAATAAAACTTCTAGTTTTATAGGAAGACAATTTTTTTTTATGTTAGCATAGCATCCAATCATCGCCTTGAATAAAATTGTGCACTGAATATAATATAACATGATCAAATGGAATCTGACTACTCCATATCACCCTTCCCGATAAATTAGAGCCCAACCCTGAATTACCATACTCCCCAAAGTAAAGTGTCTTCAACGCAAACTCACCATCCCAAGGCATCCACCCAGGTGGTGAAACAAGAGCCTCTAATTTACACCTCACAAAGACAATCCTCGAGAACTCTTTCCATGGCCTCCCAAGGAACGTTTGATGCACATTAGGGTTTTTCTGGTATTGTTTCATATAATCTTCAGTGCCATTGATGACACATTCATGAAAAACAAATCCCGTGGCCTGCGCAGGGTCTGTCCGGCCATGTGCAGCGACGACATTGTTCTCGCCTTTCCCTGGATTGAGCTGGCGGGGGCGGACAAGGATTGTACACTTATGGAAAACGGAGGCGGAGTTACCGAATATGAAGTCGACGTTGCCTTTGATGATGCAATATTTATAGAACTGGCGAAGGGAATGAGCGTAGACTGTGTCTTGATTACCAATGAGTTCACAATTTTCTACGAATGATAGATCACTATCAGACCGGTAAGCTACTGCTTGGTGAGCATCAGAACCGGCGGTGTTCTGAATTGTTAGATCTCGTGCCATAAAGCCATCGCCAACAACCCCTGTACGATATAACATTTATTATGGTAACGTTCAATTGGTAACAAAAAATAATATTTTCATTTATCCCCCGCTCTTGTGTAATATTTAATTTGTCTTTTAGTTTTCTATTATTTACTTATATTTTGGTATTTTGTAATTTGATCAGTTTAATCTGTAATAAATGGTCACATTTATGCGATATTTTCTATACGATAGGATATATATTTTCTTTAAATAATT